AGAAGTCAGTTGTCAACCCACTTGAGCCTGCTAGTTGGTAAAGGGAAGGAGCTTCCTGTATCAGAACTTCCAACAGTGAGAGACATGCTAAGATTAGGGTTACTCCTTCGAGAAAAAAATGCAAAGGACAGAAGGAACTATACAGATAAAGAACTCATAAATGACATGATAGTCCTCTTCTGCATCAATGGACAAAAGCTAATGCACTATTCAAACCACCTGTGATTAATCAGTGTCGAACTATTGAGCTAAAACTAACGAAATTATGGCACAAAGCAGTTGAAACATCACTTGGTAAAGGAAACTTGGCCAGGAAAAATGAATTTCTGCACACACTTGATACTCTGTTTGACATTTTGACCTGCAAGTGCTCCATACAATTATGTTCTGAATCCAACTGTTCTCACTCAGGTAAGAGAGAAAATAATTCCTACATTGATTGTGGTTGTCCTCGTGAAAAGAAGATCCCTGTTTTAGAGCTTGAATTTATAAAGGCACAGAGGACAAAGGCAGAAGGCCAAGGAAGTATGCAAATGGGTTCAATAGATTATTCAGAAACAAAGAAGCAGATTGCTAATGCCAAGAAGAGAGAACAAATCCGAGAGAGGGAACAAAAGAAGAAAATGAAGAGTGAAGAAGCCATCCAAAGAGAGGAAGAGCTGTGTCAAGATGTTTATCACTTCTTTGATAGTTCTTCTGATGAACAGGAAGCAACATCAGATGATAGTTCCAAAGAGCCATCTGAACCTTTACCAAAGAAAATGAAATACAACACAAGAAATATTTCAAACATTGCTTTAGCTAGTATTCGCCACCATGCTGGACTTCGTGAGGCTGCAGAAATTGCAACTGCCGCTTGGATAGATGCAGGCCTCATCAGCCGAGAGGATGTATCTTTGGTGATAGATCATAATAAAATTAGAAGAGCACAAGAAAAAATAATGAAGGAAATATCTGATCAGCATGAAAAAGATTTAAGCGAGGGAGGGCTCTCCTGTCTTTTGTTTGATGGAAGAATAGATGACACAAAAGTTTTGCTAGAAGTAGAGGGAGTGAACAGAAAGTTTCCAGGTCTCATCAAAGAAGAACACTCTCCGTCTGTTCTGAGCCTGGTGGTCGGTTTTTGTTTCACTTTGCTCCCGAAACTGAAGTAGAAGGGAAGAAACATGCAGAGGTCATTGCTGATCATATTTTATGTTGGGTTCAGGAGAGAGGACTTGGCAGTTCACTGCAGGCTGTTGGTGGAGATTCAACTGCAGTGAACACCGGATGGCAGGGGGGTGTAATGACGCATTTAGAGAAAAAACTAGGAAGAAGACTTGTTTGGATTGTATGTGATTTACATACAGGCGAGCTACCTCTTCGTCATCTCATCCAGGAACTTGATGGTCCTACAAAGAGCAACAACAAGTGGTCAGGTCCCCTTGGCATCATGCTGGATGAAGCAACACAACTAGAAATAAATACAACCTTTCCAAAGGTCGAAGTTGGCCCTCCCCTTCCGGCGTTGTCTGAAGGAGTCATCAAAGATCTCAGCACAGATCAATCCTATGCTTATCGTATTGCCCAAGCAATAAGATCAGGAGAAGTGCCTCAGTCATTGGCTCTCTTGGAGATTGGACCTGTCAGTCACAGCCGCTGGTTAACTACAGCTCTTCGTTTCTGCAGGATTTGGATTTCCAAACACGAATTGAAGGGCAAAGTGCTGAAGAATTTGAGGTTAATTGTTGAATTTATTATTGGAGTTTATCTTCCCCAGTGGTTTAGTGTGAAACTTAATCCTATGTGGGTGGATGGGCCCAATCACCTTTTGTTTCAATTGCAGCTAGTAAGAACACAGAGGAAGGTAGTGAGGGACATCGTGTTACCTGTGGCAAGAAGGTCCGCTTGGTATGCTCGATCAGAAGCAGTTTTGCAAGCAATGCTTTGCAGTCAATGTACCAATCTCCGAACCGAGGCTGTAGAAGTCATTCTAAAGATTAGAGGAACGCTAATAGATGACGACCAGTTGGGAGACTGTTCGTTTCATTCAAGAAAAGTTCCCCCAATAAACGTCAATGCCACCAAATTGTCAGAATTGGTTGACTTGAGTTTGGAAGTCTTAGAGCCACCATTGACAACAAGTCTAACTAGCCAAGAATTGAGAAACCTTAAAGAGACTCCAATGCAGGTGCCGAAGTGGCCTTCCCACACTCAAAGTGTGGAGAGATGTGTGAAAATGGTCACAGAAGCAGCGGGCCATGTTTACAGCCACGAGAGGCGAGAAGGTTACATCAAAGCACAAATAGCAAGCAGACTACTGATGACAAGAAACCAAAGCAAAGAGAGTATGAAGGCATTGGTTACTTTCAAATAGACTACGGATAATAAAATATAATAATTTGAAACTTGAAACAGTAACATGTGTGCAAACGCTGGTTATGTTATAAATTCACAAATATGTACATTTAAAAATCCATTTGATGTAGGTAGGACTTATTATAAAAAAAAATTTATGCCAGAATATTGTTTTGCATGCTTAAAGACTACAATAAATTGCTACCAAATTACTCGATTTTCAATTTAGCCAGTTCACCCCCTAAATTGACACACCCTAGCGGTGAGTGTCCGAGACGCTATTTTTAGATTTGCCCCACCCGCCACCCTGCCTGACTGCCTGTTTTAGCTCATAAAATTCATACAAATTACCAGGCCAGAATATAATTTACATTGCTGGAATTCTTATAATTTGGTGATCATTATGAATATAAACATCATATATTTTGCTTTAAACTTACAATTTTTAGATAAAAATTTTTCTCTAGGTAACTATGGTATCTTTTGTGCAAAATATATGACATTTATATTCAAAATATTCCTGGTCTTACAAGGAATCCAGCAATGTCAATTATATTATCCTAACTTTAGTTTGAGGTATTATTTATTAAAATTTAGTGGTTATCCCACACATCTCCTTGGGACGGTTGGTGGGGGGTGGGGGGGAGGGAGGGACCGACCGACCATCTGTTACCCTGTGAAGAATTATTATTTTTTTTATTAACTGAAGATATTTGTTTTAGCTCATAAAATTCATACAAATTACCCGGTCAGAATATAATTTACATTGCTGGAATTCTTATAATTTGGTGATCATTTTGAATATAAACATCATATATTTTGCTTTAAACTTACAATTTTTAGATAAAAATTTTTCTCTAGGTAACTATGTTATCTTTTGTGCAAAATATATGACATTTATATTCAAAATATTCCTGGTCTTACAAGGAATCCAGCAATGTCAATTATATTTTCCTAACTTTAGTTTGAGGTTATCCCACACATCTCCTTGGGACGGTTGGTGGGGGGTGGGGGGGGGAGGGAGGGACCGACCGACCATCTGTTAGCCGGCTGTGTAGTGTGAGAGGGGGAGGGAGTTGAGTCCATTATTTGAATGGACATTAACTTGGCGACTGTATTTCTCTATTTCTCTTAAGTATTAATTGTGTGCATGTACCATCATAAAATTAAGATGTTATTTTTACTACAACATAGGTATGTGCCTTCAAAAAGTGGAGTTTGGGGGTCGGGCCGGTTTCTATTGGAATTAATCCCATATGTTCTGTTGTTCACTTAACGCGGATTTCACTTAACGCGGGACCCTCTGGGTTCAATTGACCGCGTTAAGTGGGGCAACTAAACATTATTATTATTATTATTATTATGATTATTATTATTATTACATATTATGATTATTATTATTACGTATTACATTTTGCCCCCCCCGGCCCTGATGTGGGTCAGTGACTGTGCCCGGTGGGTTAATAATTCCCAAAGAAAAAAAGAAAAAAAAAAATCATTGCTCCACAAAACTTTTGTTTTGAATTTCGATGAAGGGTTGTCAACCTGTATCATATTACTGTTTTACCAAAGATTATGCAAACTTTCTCCGCGTTTGTATTCGTAAGTTAATTACGTGAGGGGGGGGTTAATGGTGGGGGGTTGAGTGTAGTGGTGCTTCCTTACTATTATTCTACTTAACAACATTGTAAATCTTTGGCTAATAATAGGGACCAAAAGATAGATACTGATAAGCAAATGAGTTTTTTATTATTATTTATTCTTGTTGGGTTAATGGGAGGTTTATGGGGGGGTGTAAGACAAGTGTCGTTTATGGTGATTATTAACTTGTCTTTCAGTATTAGCCAACAATAATAAGAAAGTTTAGCAGAAAAACGCGATTATTGTTGGTTTCAAGCTCAAACAACTGTACATCACAGGTAGTTATTCTCATTCAACTCTTGATAAAATAATAACTATTCACAGAACTAACTTCCAGTTTCCACAGTTCGCTAAGAGAGGGATTGAGCTGCACGATAAAAAAAAAAAACCCTCTAGCTTAAAAAAACAACAAAGTTCTGGCTGTTTGAACTTCGAAAAACTTTAAATGCGTTTTTCTCAGCTTTTGGAATTTGGTGCTTCACCCCCTTCTGATGTGGAGATCCTCATATAATGTACATCAGTGTTGACAAAGGTGACAGTGGACAACATGCCAGCACCCAGAAGAATCACACATTGTGGGTACTTCAGGTGCTGGACGTGAACCAAGAGGAATAACGACTGCAAATGAAATCGTCGAGAAAATGACGGACGCTCAGCCAACCTGCAGGAATTCAAAGCTGGAGGAGTGGATGGCTCAGAGAACAAGGTGATGAAAGAGTCAGTGAATGAGATACACACTCCACTCAGCCTGCAACCTGTACAATATTTAGGAAATACTCAGACCATCACTCTGACATTCGCGGGGTGTAGAAAGAGCGTACGAGTAAGAAACCCAAAGACCAATCAGGTGAGCTTCACATACTGTACCTGCAAACTCTCTGGAAAAATTATGAGGGACGACATCATCATAAAATGTGAGAGAGGTGTTTTATGAAGTTGTTGGTAGTGAGTGAAAACCTCACATTTAAGATAAAGACTTAAGACACGTGGGCGATCAAGGAACATAAACGCAGGTCACCCACCTTGGTATCGAGGGTCTGGCAGATGCGAGCTCGTTCCGATATTAACATTTTAGTTTTGGCAATGAGCTGTTCTCTCTCCCTCTCCATTTCCTTCATCTTTTTCTCGACTGCTTCCTTCTGCTTCTTGGCCACAATGACCTGGAAAAATGTCAAGATCTAAATAAAGAACTAATAAAGAACTGAATACTATAGTACTGAGAAACTGCAAAGATTAAATTAAGGAAGTGAGAAAAAAAAATACAATGAAATGATAAGAAAAAAATGGGAAATTCAGCTTTAACTTATATTCCTAACTGTCAAGGATGCACAAACCTTTACGCCTGTATTATTAAACAACATCTTCCCTTGAAGAGGGTCGTCGTGTTTCAGGACTCATATAGTTTAAAACTCGGGTTGAAACACGACGACCCTCTTCAAGGGAGGATGTTTAATAATACGAGCGCGAGTCTTTCCACAGGTAATAATCTGCTCAGCTTAGAAGAACCCATATACCACTTCTGGTCCAACACCACTCACCTCCCTTTCTGAAGTCGCATATTTGACGACCATCGATTCCTTGTCTTTATTTGCCGCCTCGTACTCTCGTGTCATGCGCTCAAGACGAGTCGTGAGATCCGAGCGAATCTTGACATTTTCGGACATGTAACTCTCCTCTGCTTGATGTAGTTTTTGTTGCCAACTACATGCATCTGCCTGTGCCTGCAAGCAAAACGCAGATATTGTTCAGTGCTCTTCTTCTAATTCTATCAATTACATTTGTCAGACATTTATACAAAACACTGTAAAGCCCAAGAGCTATTAACTGGACCATTAATTAGGTTAACACATAAAACAATGATCCTCCTAAGTCAACCATAACAACTGCTATTAATTGGTTCACTATGACCATCTCTGCACACATAGAGCTTTATTACTCAGGTCAACCAACAGAGGTAGAGGAGGGAGGCCAACAGAGGTAGAGGAGGGAGGTCAACAGAGGTAGAGGAGGGAGGCCAACAGAGGTAGAGGAGGGAGGTCAACAGAGGTAGAGGAGGGAGGTCACCACTACTTTATTGTAACAGATGTAAACAGAGAGTATTGAAGGAGGTCGCGAGTGAAAAACAAAATGTGTGTTTGTACGTTACGTCACCTGCGCCAGAGTCTTCTCGAGGGCTTCTATCTGTGAGGCGTAGACCTGAGACGAGTGGTCAGCTTCAAGGCGGTCCACTTCACCCTCTAGCCTGGAGAGAAGATAATGGATTAAGGTATATATGGGTAGGTTATGATAGGTTAACCACACTACTTCAAGATATTTCAGAGATAAGAGCAATGTCCTTCATCTGATCATTAATATTGTATGACTTATCTTCTTTTATTTAAACACCATAATGTTCAGTGCTGCTCCTAAAGAATATAAACAAAAAAATAACTATGCAGTACCTTACGTCACCTAACCTACAGTACACGCCACACATTATTTACACTTCCACTGTTGACAAGTTACATTAATTATAAACTGTACAGTACTATAATAAAACTACATTCACAGTCTGTACACAGTAAGGCTCAGCTGTAGCTGCCTCAACAGTGGCTCTGGGGAGTGTGGGTGTAACTTATCACAGCAACAAAGAACTACAACTTATAACAATTGTCATGATTTGTGACTGTTGGTTTACACTACACTGGCTTAGTTATTAATACTGTGGTCAAAAGAGAGACTACACCTTGTGGTATACTACACCTTGTGGTAGCCTACACCTTGTGTAGTTTAGCCTGGTACTCACCTGGCCTTCTCCCTCTTCAATGTGTCACACTCGTCTAATAAACACGACAACATCCTCATCAGGTTTTCTTTGGGCGTGGAGGAGAAATCCACTTTGCTGATCTCAAAGTCAGAATCGGGACTACACTCATTTACTGCTGTCGTCAGAAGGCTTTCAATTTCGGTGAGAAGACAACTAGAAGTTTTGGGATCCTCAGGTACAGGATGGGATGGTAAAGTTAATACTTGGTTACTTTGGGTAACAGCGCAGGTTCTACTGTGTCTGGACGAGTCTGGTTCAGTGCTACTACAATATACAGAATCTACTTCAGTTTGTTGTAAATTGTTCTCCATTCCTCTGGTGTCACTGTCTGGGATATATTCCAGGGAAAACTCTACAACACTATCATCTCGTAAAACACTGTTGGTTAACATCAGTTCCTCCTCTGCAACATTCATCATTCTCTCTTCTGTATTGACTGTTTCCTCCACTATTCTCACGTCACTTGAATTCTGTTTTTCTGAAGCACAAGAACCTTCCCCTTGACAGTCTTCCACACCTTCACTCTCCCTGGACCGTGACGACCCACCACTCGTCACTGTATCATCATCTTTATTAACTAACATCTCACTGGACCTTTCTAACGGTAATGCTTGAAGAGTTTCATTTTCCATTCTTGTTTGTTCAATATCCCGTGGACCCGGCCGATCCAACGGCAGGAGTTCGCCGTCATCATCGACGATCTTGTCGATTTGTACATTCTCTTCAGATTGTAGTTTTGATTGGTCGTCAGCCTTTTGTTCATCCATTTTAAGTGGTTATAGTCCAAATAGAGTCATGTGGACTGTGCTGGCATCTGAAACATGTGAAAAGGAATATTAACAGCTCTTACCTACAGTACTGTACATTGTAAACTCTTACTTCACTCTTAATATCCTGCACATTCTATTAAAAGACTTACTTTGGTCCCACAATCTATACCGAGTCCTTCTTCCAAGATACAATACAACTTTGTAATTACTATATTGAATCGGGGGTGCTTGAGGACATTCTCGCTGTTTATCCCAAATTTGCTAGCCCTCACTGATTAGTCTTCAATTAGAATACGACGTCCAATGTATATGAACCACTGCCTTACATGCAGCGAACAGTGACATCACCCACACGACTCTGACCTATATACAGTATACTGCTAATGAATATGATGTATTTCTTTGTGTACAAACCTCTGTCCTGCATGGCAGTGAATAGTGACATTACCCACATGAATCTGACCTCTATATATACAGCTCCTCCCCGACTTACGACTGGATTAGGGACCCAAATCCAGGTCATAAGTCGAAATGGTCGTAAGTCGGAAATGCTTAAATAATACATATAAAATCTAAAATGGGTCTCTTTTTCTTCTCAGCACCACAAAACACTCACTTTTAAGCTTGCCAGCCATTTTAAAGTGAATTACAAAAGAAAATTTTGTCTGTGTACTGATTTAGGGACTCGAAAATGCATAATTTGACCAAATTTTGGTACGACTGAGACAGGTCGTAAGTGCGGGTGTGGTTGTAAGTCGAGTAGGTCGTAAGGCGGGGAGGAGCTGTATAGCTGTTAATGAATATGTTGTATCTCTTTGTGTATGAACCTCTGTCCTGCGTGGCAGTGAGAAGTGATACCACCCTCAGTGTTAAGATCTGACTGAATTACTCAGAATAGGCAAACTGTACTCCAAGCTTTGTCAATAAATTTGTTAAACTAAAAAACTTCTTCCCAGCTGGATTATGAACCTTTCCACACTTGTACAACTTGTCTTAAAATGCCACGAAACTTGCAGATTAACTACAATTGAATTCTTCCCTCTTTCATTTACGATAATATCAAGAGCTACAGTGCAGTACTATTGTTCTGTTATATACACTAAATAATTCTATATCTACAGTATTAAATTTCTGGTGGTTCTTTTTCTTTATTGTCAAAGGAAAAAATTTGTAAAGGAGTAATTCAGATATTGACTTGATGCAGCACTGTACAGAACTTCCGTTGACCAAACACTCTCTCACCACTGTGTCCTGGGTAAACATGGGTACGGTGTTAGTCAGTGTAACACCACCCAACATGGCAGGTCTCCTATGGGTATCCCAGTTTCCTCCTGTACTAACACTGGACAAGAGGAACATAACAAAGAATGGCTAGTGAACTCATAAGTAGTGAAATGAAAACAATTAATTAATCAATGTAAATATCCACTCCAAGACAAGCTGAAGATGTAATATATGGGGGCCACCTTAGTACAGTACTCAAAACAGCCTACATGCACAGTATTGTGTTTTTAGGCCACTTGAACCCCCTACTATTTTAGATACTGGTAAGAAAGTTCACCTGAAGGTTAGGCACCCCAGCTTATTTCCCCCAGTGTTTAAACACCCCAACACAAACCTAGACACATTGCTCTTGTCACCATTGTTTTGTTCCATCATAAGAACCAGACAATTATGAGGTACAGTACAGTAGTGTTTTCTTCGTCTCCTTCACTATGGACACGCCACCTGTCACAATTTATTGACTAACACCAGATGATATTAACCCGCTCAGAGACACTGTACACAAGGAGTTAAAAACCTAACAACTAACCTAACCTCCCATAACCTTATCTATCCTGCCAAACCTCCCATAACCTAATCTAACCAACCAAACCTACCTATCCTACCAAACCAAATCTAACCAACTACTCCACCATAAGATACTGAAAAAAGGGAAAATCAATTAATTTAACTACAGTATAGTCTGGATTTACGCGGTTTTTGTTTACGAGTTTGGTCATTCACGCGGTGCCTTGCCAGAACGAAATGTTTTAATTACGCGGTAAATTTCATCATTTACGTGGCAAGCGGCTGGAGAGGTCCAGACCGCCGCGCCATCTTTTGCCCACGCGGTCCATTCTTGACCATACGCAGGAAGCGGCGCGGTGAGTGGTGCCGCTCTTACGTTATCGCTGAAGTCATATGACGTATCGGACTGTGATTGGGCTACGCATCCTTACCACCCACGCATTCCCTCCGCCGCTAGCTGTGATTGGTCTAATGTAACATGACGTGCCCTGCCACCAGACGGTAGAAGTCGCTGACCTAGCCGGGCCTGTCTCATTGTTCTCAGTCCGCGTATACAGTTCTCTCTTGTGCCCGCTATTCCCCTCACAATGGCTTCAGCAGGACCCCCCACCACCAGAGAAAACCCTTGAATTACCTGGACCAAGCCATGATAATGTGAAGGAAATCATCGAGTTGGGGGAGAAAATTAAGCTCATCCTTGACAACGACCCAGACAAGCATCAGTATGAAGAGTCTAATAACCATCTGACGAAAGTTATGGAGCCGTTTGTCCAGATCTATCTCGACAACATCAATGCTAGTCGTCAACGTAATATTAAGGACTTCTTCGCCAGCAACCCACCACAACCACAGCCAGCCCAAGTCAGTGATAGTGACGATATGGACTTTGAGGGGTTTGTCTGGGAGGCCCTGCAAACCTCTGCGAGTAGTGAAAGTGATTCACCGGAGGGCAACTAATCTGCCCTCTGCCTTGGAACCAACCGCCATCCACGTGTGCCGACCCATCTCTTCTACTAATGTAAGTGTTAAAAAATCTAATATTATTGATATTTCTCTTAAATATTAATTGTGCATACCATCATAAAATTAAGATGTTATTTTTATTACAAGGTACGTATTGTGTCGGAAAAAGTGGAGTTTGGGGGTCGGCCCAGTCTCTATTGCAATTAATCCCATATGCTCTGTTATTTCGTTTACGCGTTTCTCGTTTTACGCAGATCTCCACGGGTTCAATTGACCGCGTAAATGCAGACTATACTATTTATAAAATTTTGAGAACAAATGTGATAGGTGGCAACTACACACAGTACTGGTGGTGGTAGTTCCTATGATCATGAAACAAAAGTTGCCGACATTTATCCAAAACTCGTGGAATTTGCTTTGTTATGTTGATATAGTATAGTATTTATCTCTTACTGTGCAACAATTAATGTTTAATTCTGAAAAGTTAAAATAAAAGTTTTATTCTAATATAAAATGTCCAAAATACCGTCCTTGAAGAGGAGTGCAAAAACTACAAGAGGTCCCCCGAACACCTACTGATATGAATGAGGTTTTACACTTTTTTATTTACCTGATGACTTATTTTTTACTCTCATTTACTGTATTTTGTCATTCTATTTCTTCTTTTGTCTTAAATCAAGTGATTTTAGAGGTATACAGCTCCTCCCCGACTTACGACGGGGTTAGGGACCCAAATCCAGGTCGTAAATCGGAAATGCTTAAATAATACATAGAAAATCTAAAATGGGTGTCTCTTTTTCTTCTCAGCACCACAAAACACTCACTTTTAAACTTGCCAGCCATTTTAAAATGAATTACAAACGAAAAATTTGCCTGTGCACTGATTTTCGGGACTCGAAAATACGTAATTCTACGAAATTTGGTACGACTGAGACAGGTCGTAAGAGTGGGAGGATCTGTATAAGGACTTAGGCTGTGTTATAGTGGGATTTTAAACATTGTTCTGTAAGTACGGTCTGCACATAGCACGTATTCTAACTTACGGACAAATCCAACTCACAAACATCCTCAGAAACGGAACCCGTTGGTAACCCGGGGACCCCCTGTACTGTACCACCTGTAGCACCCTTCACAAGTGTTCTAAACAGCCCTTATTCCTCATGTACTAAACTTTAGTCTTAAAACCTGACTCACTCACTCCTGTCTCCACCAAATTTGCTTCTATAAACAAAAATAAACATACAGTATCATATCTGTTAAGCTGCCAACAACATTAGGTAATACTTTATGAGAGCTGTAGCCCTTAACCAGCAGCTTTAGGCGTTATTCTGGGAGATAAATGCTTTCTTATCACACGAACGCGACCAAAAATTCTCAAAATATTAGCCGTGCCGAACATACGCGGCCGGGTGCATCGCGTGACACTGCTTACGTCTGCAGTACTGTATTTTGTTTTATCCTCAGGAACAATTTTTGTATAATAGATGATAACTACAACATGTTAGGTGAACTTGTCAATGGTTATCTTATATCATCAGGGTGGTGGGTGAAGAGCAGCAGCTGTCAGGAAAAACTATAGGTGTACGTGTGTTGCAGTAGGCCCATACACCTCCCTTAGAACGGAAGGAGGTGTAAAGGCTGTAGTTGGAGACTTGAAAAGGTTTGGGTGAAGCTGCTTTGGTCAGTTGAAGTTCAGATAGTAGTAAGGGGTCGGGGGAAGAGGTTAATAGATGGTGCTCCACAGAAGGAAAATTGGATCTCAGTCCGCGAATGTTGGAAAAATGAAGTGTGAAAAAAGCCGATCCTCCAGCAACAGCGGTGGAGTCAGTTGAGGCCCCAGTAGTCTGATGATGATCAGGTCGGCCCTGGGGTCCACAACTAACCCACTCGGTCCGAGCATACTCTATCGTCCACAAAAAACACATTGGTACCAGATAATATAAAAAATACTTTGTTTAATATAGAGGGGGTCCACCCCGGCTAGGAATTAAGGTAAGGTTAGGTAGGTTTCTTTGGTTGGTTAGGTCAGGTTCCATTAGGTTCATTATTATTCATTTGCAACAAAAGTGTATAGAATGAAAGTTACTTGGAATGATAAGATATATCTTTAGCATTTGATAAAAAACTTAAAACTAATTGAGAGTCCACATGTAAAAATTGACCAATTACCCAACTTGAAGTTAGGTAAGGTTAAGTGGTTAAGTCAGGTTGATGTTTCTATCATCGTGTTGAACATCATACAAATAGTACGTCCAGAAATTTGGGTTCAAACCCATAAGTTATTTCTATTGCTGACCACGTTCCCTTTATCTTGAGGAAATGAGAACAAATACACAAGGATTACATTTAACATAATAACACTTTTACAAGTTTTTCAGTTAAATCTGCAGCTGCCGAGGCGACACCACCATCACCCTAAGTCATGTTTACAGCAACAACATCAGCTTGTGCGGTGATGTTCGCAGTTTTGTGCAAACATAACATTGTCTTGAAGGTTCCTTAAGATTTGGGTAATATTGCAACAACCACCAACCACAGAATTCCGGAACTTCACTACACCCAATCGACAGTTCTATTTTTTCTATGATCACAGGTTAGGTTAGGCTTGGTTAGGTTAGGTTAGGTTAGGTTAGGCTTGGTTAGGTTAGGTTAGGCTTGGTTAGGTTGCTGTAATCTGCAATCTTACCAGATTTTTTTATATTTTTCCAGATTACAATATAAGAACACTAGTACGTATAAAAGGTTGGTTTGGTATTATTGCAGTTTGGGCCAATACACGGCCGGCTGTTTTAACCATCCCCAACCTTTCGATCTCCTTATTTGGAGTATTTCTGACCCTATTTCAACCAGGGGCAAGAAATAATAACGTCAGAAATAAATTTAAAAGTTTTCCCATACTTTTGGGGGAGAGAGAACTCTAAAACGGGTACAGTTCTTCCCACTGGAAACTAAAGTCAAATTAGATTAAATCACACCAAAAATACACTGACAAACTAATTTATAATCTACTCGGGCATAATGGCCAAAAGCTGCAATTTTACCGCTGGTTCATTGATTGTGGCACTGACCATAACTACAAGGGTTATTTTATTTCAGGTCATCCAGGGAATCGGTTAGGTTAGGTTATCTTTTGTTTAATTATTTCAAGAGAAAACTATAATTAAAACTATTGTTGAGACAGTGACATGTCCTTCACCCCAGACACTGCCACCTTAACATCACCTTCCTCTTCGTTCTTCTCCAAAACATAACGTCACTTAAGGAAGGAACTAACTTAAATAATACCTTTCTGTGGTAGGTTATCTGAGTAACTCACTGGAGGGAGATAAACAGTGTGGATCACCTCCCATCACCTGCTCCCTTCTCGGCCACTGACAGCTCTCAAGATTTTATTTCCTGCTCACAATACTGATAACTTTATATGTTATATGTATATATTTTATAATCGTTCATATATTTACCTTACGTCTTGTTAAAATAATGATGTATTTAATATTCCTATAACTACATTACAAATTTGTCAAAATGTATGTAAGAGAAACATATAAATATCACTTGCTTCACAGGTACATGATGCATATATAAGATATTTACATTGGCTTTGTACAAACTGTCAATGTTGGTGAAAAAAATATTATTTATTTTTAATTAAAATGTCACTTTTTATTTCTTGTACAAATATAATTGTATTCAGTTTCGTTCAGTAAATCTAGCCACTATTGATATATACATCATTATAACAAATTACCCAAATAACTCCTCTGGGACAGGTACTGTATGTGGTATGGTATCAGATAAAGTAACACCTCAAATTAAAACGTATTTTTTTTTATCACTAAGTGTCCAGAATATCTTAAATATGATTTTATACAGATTCGGGGTTTAGATCAGTAAGGCATTTATTAGAGCAGTGAACATATTTATTATTTATCATTATTGACTAGTGACCTCAACCCCCACATAAAGACCCCAGTGGAAATACTTTTCTTTTCTTTTTCCTTTATCCTCTTCACCACTGATCGGCTCGTTAGCCGCTTGGGCGATCAGTCACGTCTCTGTTACGCACTGTTGGCAAGTACTGGGCATGTACCGGCTCCTGAATGTACCTGAACCTGTGGTCAAGTCTGGTCTTGAAAGAACTCACACTCGGTGCCGTTGTAGTGGATTCCTCCCCTACAAACGCTTGTCGCTGAGTAGCCGACCCCGCGAATTCCCCAGTGTATGCCTCGTGGTCTAGGTCAACCAGCGCCGCCTTACATGACGGAGGTCAACTATAAGCCACGCCTACCTACGCTATATAAGACCTGACCTCGTGATGACCTACCTCTCTTTCTACCTACACCAACCAGCAAGCAACACCACCTCCTCAACTCTTGCCTGGTGGCCCTCGCTCCCGCCGGCGAGCATGGCGACCCACAAGCTGGTCCTCCTCTGAGCACCCTCACCAACCAGCTCTCTCTACATCACGCTTGTAACCACGCTGCCATTTCCCAGCACCAAGGTGCATTGTACATCCAATACATCCAATACAGAGAGCACATTGTGAGTTTCCTTTCTCCATCCCATCCTGAGTGTGAACCAAACATACCTTACCCCACACCGTCACAACACTCTCTGGCAGATTGTTCCAAGAGTTCACAACTCTTACTCAGAAAAAGTTTGCCCTCACAGTTTTCTGGACCTGCGGCTTCTTCAATCTTGACCTGTGACCTGTAGCGTACTGTAAGTGGCCAGTTGTCAATTCTCTTTAGTTGTATGGGCACACAAACGTACGTACATGTAGATGTAGCCACTCAGGAATGAGGTAGGGCAGAAACTCACGATGCGCTTTCTGTATATATATTGTTTGTACAGCGCAGTGCTTAGGAGTGACTAGGTGAGGAGCTGTGAGAGATGTTGCTGGTCCAGTAGCTGAGTGTAGAATGTCCTCCCGATACGATACGAAGTCTTTAGTTAAGAGGTGAAAGAAGATTATTAGGAGTTGAAGGAAAAGTGGTGAAACTGAAATACAGTAGGAGTAGAAAGAATCTGGGCTCAACCAGATCGCTTCATCTTTCTTATTGGTGTTTTGTCTTTGTTCTGCTCCCCTGGGTCGTCAGACCTTTGTATTAATATTGGTTTATTTATATAATGCTGCTTATTATTATTATTTGTTATTGTTGGAGTTAGTGAGCCCGCCCAGGTCCTTGTGTAACTGGGAGGGTAGTCACATTTTTATTTTTTATTTTTTTTTGAGGTGTTAGTTAAGTGTTAGTTGTGTTAGTCTAAAGGTACACTGTATGGAGAGGCCTGCCAGGTTCTTAGTGGAGCTGGTTGGTCACTCTCATCTTTATTCCTCTAGTAATGTTTTATGTAGAAATGTGTATGTTGAGGCAGGAGGTGGTTCAATTACTTCTTCCTGGCTGATATAGCTGGGAGGGTAATCACATTATTATTATTAATATTATTAATATTTTTTTTTTTTTTTTTTTTTTTTTGAGTTAGTGAGCCCGCCCAGGTCCTTGTGTAGCTGGGAGGGTAGTCACATTTTTAATGTCCTCCCTGGGCAGGCGTGGCCGTATTTATACAATTTACCAGGATCAGGATTTGGGGTGCGCGTAGCGAGAGGACTAATCACAGCGGCTCAAGCGTAAGGTGTGAAACGCTCTGATCCTGAACTGGAGGTTGATGGTCGAGACTAGGTCGGCGATCGTACCCCTACGTCCTCTGCATAGACCTAGTCTCTCGGCGCAGCTGGCTGTACGCTGATTGGCTGGTCGGCGTGCGGCCGGAGCTCAGTTGGAAGTTGTAGGGGAGAGGAGCCACTACAATACTCCCCCTCCCCTCCCGGCGCGGCGGGAGGCTGGATGTTGTCCGGGTTGTGTCCCACACATAACACATACCGGGCAGGTGTACGTACGACTCGGCCGCTACGTGTAACAACTCCCTCCAGTGACACAAAACCTGTGGGAGAATTAGGAGGAGAAAGAGGGTTTGAGATTAGAAGAGGTTGTACAAGCAATGGTTGTTGTGCTCCTGCTGCTGCAGGGGCTGCGTCAGGAGGAGGGTCCATGGCAGGAGCAGGTTCCATGATAGGTGCAGGTTGTATGTCAGGAGGAGGGTCCATGGCAGGAGCAGGTTCTATGACAGGAGGGAGGTCTATTACAGGTTCAGGTTCTATGACAGGAGGAGGGTCTATGATAGGTACAGGTTCTATGATAGGTGCAGGTTCTATGTCAGGAGGAGGAACCATGGCAGGAGCAGGTTCTATGACATGAGGGAGGTCTATTATAGGTTCAGGTTCTATGATAGGAAGAGGGTCTATGACAGGAGCAGGTTCTACAGCAGGAACAGGGTGTACATGAGGGTGAAAAGAGGGTGCCCAGAAATGTCGTGGGCGTGGTGTTGCTGCCGGTGGTAACTGCGGGTAGACTGGTGCAGGCGTAGTTTGTTGATGGTGCTGCTGGGCTGGGGGCCCGACGGGTAAGGTGGCCGGTTTGACTCGGTCTATGCTGACGGTGTCATGTCTGCCATTCCGGATAATCGTCAGGAACTTTGCTGAACGGGTAACCACCTGGAAGGGTCCATCGTAGGGGCGTTGTAATGGGTTGCGATGAGCATCACGCCTGATGAAAACATACTCGGCTGTGAGTAGTGCAGGAGGGATGTGTTCAGGGCGCCGAGGAGGCTGGCGTGGAGCAGTAGCTCTGAATGCAGAAACTGCTTGTCGTAGCTTTTGGAGTAAGTCGTGACGAACGGCTGGAGTGGTTTGGTGAGGGTCAGGAGGGAGTGAGAAATCCCCGGGTAGCCGAAGGGGCTCGCCTAGTGTAAGATCTGCTGGGCTACAGTCCATATCCTCCTTGTGTGACGCACGGATGCCGAGGAGCACTAAGGGAAGCGCATCAGTCCAGCTGTAAGGGTTGTGCTGTGCCTTGAGTGCGTCCTTCAGCTGCCGGTGAAAACGCTCTACCATGCCGTTGGCTTGAGGGTGGTATGCTGTAGTGCGTTGTCTAGACGTGCCGAGGAACTGTAGGAGGTGCTGCCAGAGTTGTGACTCAAACTGGACTCCTCGGTCAGTGATTACGGTTGCGGGGGGGCCAAAACGAGAAACCCAACCGGACATGAAGGCGCGGACAGTAGTCTCTGCTGTAGCATTGGGCATGGGAATTGCTTCTGTCCACCTGGTGAAACGGTCGATGCAGGTGAAGATGTAGGTACTACCGTAGGATGATGGAAGAGGTCCCACGATGTCAAGGTGTACTACTTGAAAACGTCCTTTGGGAATAGGGAAGGTTTGTAAGGGGGCCCGTATGTGACGATGTATTTTGGAGGACTGGCAGGCCAGGCACTGGGCAGCCCATTTCTTAGTATCAGACTTGATGCCGGGCCAGACAACACGTTGCGTGAGGAGGCGCTGGGAGGCCTGCACACCCGGGTGGCTGAGACCATGGTGTACTGCGCACATCATTGTCATCCCTAAAAATCCCATCTAATTCATATTACGCTACATAACATTCAAATGCACAACGCTTGTAGAACCCCAGAAAACGGGAAACATTGAGAAAGGACAACTCCCCTACTCAAGGTTCCTAGACCATGTGTGGTATTGTACCCAGGTATAATTATATCATATCAAGTGTATGTATTCATAGCATTAAGGATCACTCAGGGTAGGCATAAGATGAATGTTAAAGTCCAGTTGAGCCGGACTAGGGTACTGTAAGACTAAGTGTGGAGCAGGGTTTGAAGGTCCTACTATTTACGTCTGTGAGCGTGTAGCGAACCTAACTCCAACAGATATCATATGAAAATACATGAGAACAATGATCGGGAAAAAGGGATAAATGTATCAGAACTATGTGAGGTGTTGACAGTGATCTAGAAACTATACTGGAAAGGAAATATCGTGTATGCGTCGGTATGAATTTAATACACCTCGTAGCCTCACGTGACATATACCCACGACAGGTACAGTGATCAAAGAATCTGAGGTCTGTGTTCAAATAGTGCGCTGTGTGAGAGGAGGATCCCTCATTACAGTTTTTAAGTGAAGTTGATACACCCCCGCCATGATCATTCGGCTTTTGTTTCAAGGCGCGTCATGTACCCGCCTCAGATGCCCGTTGATATTAAAATCCCAGGCATTTAACCAAGCACTAGCAAACCAAGACCTGACCTTAGTGTATAAGTTAGGATTAATATATGTGTTTATAAGAAATGAGTGACAATATACCGTAAAGTGTTCAGGGGAGAACCATAAGAAACAAAAATGTAAATTGAGGATTGGAAACTGTAGGCCTATGTGACGAGAAGCGGCGGGAAGCCGGCCTTAGTCTTTCCCGTTCTGCCGTCAACACAGGTCAGTGTCCTAGCGGGCTATATCCCGCCCTACAAT